CTATGATTGCTTACAACCTGTGTACAGTATACCACTGAAGTGAATATCTAGCCCGCTCTTACCAATGCGTGTTTTAAATCCTGGGATATCCATTTTTATGCTTGAAACAAATTGTTTTCTTTTCAGGTGCATAGCACAGCTTAAAACGTGTTTCCGTTAAGTGTAGGCTGCTGAAATCTTTTACTCAGATCGATTCAAAATGTCAAAATGACCAATGACTACTGCATTTCAAATGAAATTTAATTAATAAAAGCATTGATGCATATTATCGTAGGTCTTTGTAGTAATTTTTTAGACATTTCTTCACCTTGTTCATTTGTGTGATATAAATAATTTTGCTTAACTGTAACAATACACACAAACAAAATGCGAATTATTTATCAGTCGTTATTTTTTTTATAGAGATCTCTAACCGTGAACCAAACGTTTCCTTTTGTGAATTTTTTTTCATAAATTAAGTCACCAAGAAAAAAGAATTATAAGAATTAACATTTAATGCACGAATCTAACAAATGCTTCCGACTCACGAAACTGAACACCAAAACACATACCGCGGGGGTGTCCACGCGAATATGAATGCTTTTGCGTGTTTTTCCAAATTAAATGCTGCCCTTCACTTTTTAAAGAACAAGATTGTGCAATCGCGTGCTCTTAGAATGAAACTGAATGATCAGTTTTGCTCTTTGAATGGTGATGTAGATCGTCAATCCATTTCGTGCTAATTTGAATGAAATTATCGCTAATTCGTGTGCGAAGATAATGAATTCGACCGGGAAAACAAATACTTCACGCTTTTTTCATGAATGCCTTCCTATGGTAGTGGATCACAATTCATTCAGTATACATAGGAAAGTGCACATAGGGCCTAGGGCAAAGCCAGACATACGTCTCAAGTATTGCGAATTGATCTTTAACACTCAGTTACGGCATTTCAAATCAAATGTGCGTCCTGTGCTTTCATTGAGGTTGTCAGAGGTACTCATAAGCATGTCTTTCTGACAACTTAAGACTTTGGAACCGAAATGGCTGTTCATCATCATGTAGGCCTAGGCCTAGCTGTCCGCCTTGAGCAGAAGCACCCCCTCGTCCGTTGAAAAAAGCCGTGTTGGTCGGAAGTGGTCGGTTTGTTTGTAGCGACATGCATGCATTTTCATAGGTTGTTTGTAAACCACCGAATCGAACATCCTGAGAACAACGGAGCTTCCGTTCTTAGAAAATCGCGCCCTTTCTCCTTCCAGCTCGAGGTCCAATGTGTTCTGAATGTACGTTGATGCTGACCTAGGATCAACCATTCTGGTTGATGGGCTATTGAATCAACCCCCCCCCCGACCCACACACACTCCCATTTTTTGTGGTTAGAAAAATTGAAACAGATTGTGAAGAATATTTCGGACTTCCCAACGACTAAAATGCATTCAATATTACACCCAAAAGGAAACACAACTTTAAACGCCATAAATATGCCATTCTGATGTAAGACTCTACATCAGTGTCATGTACATCAATATAGAAAAAAATATATGATCGTTGGGAAAGGCTGATGGTCTTGCACAGATTTTAGTGAAAGAGGTACGTCACACTGGGTCACAGCTAACGATGCGCAGAACATTGTGGGTAAATTTCTGCCAGGCGCGCGAGCTCGCTCATACGGTGGTTTCTTACTCATTGCTATAAATATTCTCACTACACTTTATTGGTTCATCCAAAATTGATCAAGATAACCAATGGTTTGAAATATATTGCCAAAAAATACGTGATCAGCGATACCATGGTGATACTCGGTGATAAGATTTGATCAAGGCCATGTTTTTATCATATAAGCCGACAGTGCGGTACACGTTAAGGCCAGTTGCTGTTGGCTAACCAAACAGATTAGACAGCATTCACAAACAAGAAGTGATAGCCCCGCGGTGTCAGGTCGAGCTATCAGCCCCTTTCCACGTATTTTTCACTCCCATTCGACGTGTGGAAATTAATGACTTCGACCTTGTGCAGCGGTTACTTGACCGGACCCTTGTGAACCATACAACTTGCCAATCCTCTAATTGAGCATTCTCGTTTTGAAGACTTCGTTTGCACTGTCAACAAACGATTACATTAAAACTCTTTGTATGTGCTCTAGAAGGGTGGTTAAACGGGCTAAAACACCACAGATTCACGAAACGATGTACTACTGAATTTAGCCTCAAATTTAAGTGGTTACTAAGATGAT